GAGCTGGAATCCATTTTTCACATCCAGAGCAAAAATCACGTACCCACACGGCTTCTTGTGGCTGGTACGCTCTCTTTCGAGCTCCATGGTGGCGGTTGAACTGCAACTCCATATTTTCATTGGCCATTCTTTCTTCTTTGGAGTCTTCATTCAGCAGCGACAGCGGTGTCCTGATCTGACGTCCCAGGAGCAGCTCAGCAGGCGAACGTTGTTCTGGGGCAGTTGTACAAGGCGTCCGTCGATAAGACTGCAGAAACTCCGCGAGCTTCTCTGCCGTTCCTCCCTCCTTAATTTTCTGGAAGGTTCTCTTGAAGATATCCACAAACCTCTCCGCTTGTCCATTTGATTGTGGATGGAATGGGGGAGAACGCATGTGCTTGATTCCTCGCTCTTCACAGAAATTTTGGAACTCCTTTGCTGTAAACTGCGTCCCATTATCCGACACGATCACTTGTGGATCTCCAAATCGAGCGAATAGAGATTTTAGTTCTCTCAGGATAGCTGTAGTTGAAGATGAAGGCATCTCAAATACTTCTGGCCATTGCGAGTAAGCGTCAACTACGACGAGATACATCTTACCATTCAGCGGCCCTGCATAGTCAATATGAAGTCTATTCCATGGTTTCTGTTCCATTTTCCATGAATGCCGTACAGTCTTCGTTGGCATCTTGGCTGCTTCTTGACCTGCCCTACAGCGGCGCGCCGAGTCCTTGATGTCTCTGTTGATGCCCTTACTCTTCGTGCACTTTCCTAGGTCACTGTTGAAGACTTCTCCATACTTCTTCTTCAAGTCGGCGACCACTTCGGCTCGGATTTTCTCTTCGCTAGTCACCTTTCTGCAATAGAAGTTGCCCTTCAGCTTTTTGTATGCCGGCAGCTGGATGCACCATTCCAGTCCTAGTAGATTCGAGCCTTCAGTTACGTAGCATGTGCCATTTCCATGAAGCATCTTCCCTGTAACTCGATCTCTGACGGAAAAATCGGTTGAGAATTTACCATATATCTTCATCGACGTCCCGTTTGCAGTTTCCACAGGCATCACACAGGGTTTCAGAGCCGGGGATCCCATCCTCTTCCAAGCTCTGCGTGATATCAGCGTTATATCTGCACCTGTGTCCAGCTGAAGTTTGAGATTACATCCTCTAACCACGACGTCGAGGTAGGTCCGCGCGCTCTCGGTGTCGAAAGCGACCACATGTCTGCACTGTCTTCTGCGGCCAAACTGCGCTCCTGTCTTCCGCCGCTTCTTCCGACCAGTGTTGTCGGCTTGTGGACAGTCTCTCCTAAAATGTGGTCCTCCGCACGTGAAACAAGTTACCTCCTTTTTCTTCCACACTGCATGGATGTCGCGCGTGCCTTCCATGTCCGTGTTATCCATTTTCATAGCAGTGAAATTCTCACATTCCGCGACTAGGTCCTCGATTGTTAATGGTGCTTCGTCCCTGTTAGCGTCCAGTCGACGAATCATCCGAAGGCGAACTTCCCTAAGCGAGGGATCTTGAAGGCCTGCTACGAACTGCAGCGCCTTCATCGCCGTGTAGTCGACCTCCTTAAGCCGGGCGTCCTCGTCCATCCGCTTGATAGTGTTGGCGTACTCGCGGAACGGTACGTACGCTGGCGTAAGCGGAGGGCACGTTATCCTTAGGCACTCATAACGTCTTCTGATGAGCGTCTTCTTGGAGGCGAACAGCTTCTGGAGATTCGCGACGGTGGTATCGAAGTCCAAGTCATTTGGCTGCGCAGGCAGGACCTCAGCTGCATACTTCCGGTATGCTTCTTCATCCAGCTTCATCAGGACCAAGTCGCGCTTCTTCTGATCCGAAAGCTGGGAGTCTCGAATGACCGGTCCATACCTGCCATACCAATACACAAAGGTGTTACCTGTCTCTTCGTCTGAGACGAACCTTTGCACGTCCTTACTCAGCTGGTCGTACTGATCCTTGCTGGTGTCTTGGACGGCTCCCTGATTATTGACCAGAGTGGTGATAAGCGTCCTCATCTGCTCCTGTTGTGCTTGTAATTGCACCTGCATTTGCTCCCGTAGAGCTTGCGATTGCATTTGCATCTGCTCCTGCTGAGCTTGCCATTGTGCTTGCATGTGCTCCTGTTGAGCTTGTAGTCGGGCATGCATCTGTTCCTGTTGAAGCTGCATATGCAGCTTCATCTCCTCCTGCTGGAGCCGCATCTGATCGACCATGACCGACAGGACCTTCTCCAGAGATTCGCCATGCCGCTCTTCACTGGCTTTCGGCATGGTAGACTTCTCTGGTGTCGACGAAGTTTTCTGCTAAATCGGTAAGCTTCTCAACAAAGCTTACTTGTCTGGCTGTCCTCGACCAGTGACAGCTTCTTCCTCGATTCGAGCTGCAACGCGTCTTCTCCTTGGACGATGGAGGCTTCCGGTCCTTGTCGATCGAGCTTCTACTGGTCCTTGTCGATCGAGCTTCTTCTGGTCCTTGTCGGTCGAGCTTCTTCTAGTCCTTGTCGGTCGAGCTTCTTCTGGTCCTTGATCGGTGGAGGCTTCTTGTCCTTGATCCTGATCGCCAGTTGTAGTAGAACGCGTTGAGTCGTTGACGATTTATTAGAAAAACACAAGAGTTCCCCCTCTGCCTATCGGCGTACATGCCGAGGGTTCACTAGGAATAACTAGAGAACAACACACACAAATACGTCAAGGTGCGGCGGGTACGCCGCAATCACAGAGACCATATCGACCTAGCCTATAGTGAGTGAGCAAGTTCCAATATAAGGGACGGCTCTACAACACTATCCCTTTTCAACCTCGAGATCAACTCAAACTACCAGAACTTACCATGAAGAGCTCATCCCCTAAGTAAATCTTGGCTTTGTTTCCCTTCCGAAGCATCTGAACTTACGGATACAGTAATTGTTATTGTCTGAGCGCTGGAGTGCTTTTCGGAACTTGACGATTTCTATCACAAACTCAGAACTTCTGTTTTGACCAAATAAAGCACGCATTCTTTTCATTATTCAAAGAATTTTAATGTTATGCCCGCCCTCCATCATTCCAGTCAGACTTCGTCGGACCCACCTTCTGCTCTATTCTTCTACGAGGACTTAAGACGCGACTTTTTTCTTTGCTATCACTAAGAAAAGTAGAAATAATCTTCGTGAACTAGCCACAAAAACCCTTTTGCCACTTGTTCCCTTTTGTTCCATAATAGTGAGAATAACAAGGATTAACCTAAAGACTTCGCCAGTAAACGTAGATCGTCTTTTTTTTCTAGCTTTTTTTTTCTTTCAGAAATGGAGTTCAAAGTGATTGCATAAAATCAGCTGATGTTCGAATTGGATATGATTTTTTATATCTGAATTCACAAGAGAGCTGGAAAAAAGAAACAGTCCACGTCGGATGTGTATGTTCCAAGCTTTCGAATGGTATGTCGACTGATGAAAAATAAAACTTTCCTAAGTCAAAAAAAGTCTGTTGGATGACCTTCCAAAATCTAAGCATCGAGGAAATCCTTATATTACCCTCTGCACCACTTATTTTCTTTCTTTTCACTCCCACTCCCGTTAGACAAAGCTTGCGTCAGCATTCATTTCAGGCCCACTTACCCCTTCACTTTTCTAGGTCAGAAATAGCAAAACCCCCTTCACCTGGAGGGGACCCTCTCAGACAATCGCCGGGGGCAGGCGGGCACCGGAAAAATAGATTGCTGATATCTCGCACCCCGCTCGCTGATTTTTTGGAAAGCAATCAGGACTTTTCAGAAGACCGCTTGCTGAGTTCTCGATTCCTCAGAGATGCAATATATCTGCAAAAGATAAGAGCGAAAAAAATTCAACAGGCGGTCTCTTAAAAATCCGCTGACTCAGCAAGCGGTCTTCCGGAAAGTCCTGATTGCTTTGCAAAAAATCCGCGAGCGGGGTGCGAGAAATCAGCAATCTATTTTTCCGGTGCCCGCCTGCCCCCAGCGATTGTCTGAGCTGCTCCCCCTATCGCACCTATGCTTCTCATACGTGATGCATATCATTTTGCTGGTCTTGGTGCACTAATACCAAATTTGTATTCTTTATCTGCTCAATGATCTTCCGAGAAAAGTTACGAACAATGGTTTCCCCAGGATGACCAAGGATCGTTTAAGTTAGGGGCGCCGACAAATGTCAGTTGTAAAGGGATGGCCGAGTGGATAGCTGTGGAAGACTATAGTGGGAGTGGTAAAACGTTCGGAATACTTAAGTTCCAAACTTTCTTCCATTTTGCAGGTTGGATTGTGTGATATGTATCCTTAGAGGGTCCCTAAAGCAGGGAAACACCCGACACTCGTTGAATGATTTGTAAAAATGCAATTGAAACATAAGTATCCCGAACGTTTTACCACTTGCTCTATAGTCTCCGCAGCTATTCACTCGGCCATCCCTTCACAACTGACATTTGTCGGCGCCCCTAACTTAAACGGCCCGTGGTTATCCTGGGGATAACCATCACTCGTATTTTTTCTGAGAAGCTCATTGAGCAGCTAAGGGACACGGATTTGGTATTAGTGCCCCAAGACAGCACAATGATATGCATCACGTGTGGGAACCCTGCTTCGACCAGAGGTCCTCTCCTTGTTAGAAGGTTAGAAGCAGTACTTCACCTACTACTTTTAGAATAGAAAAGAACTTGTATCGAATATCAGTAAAGTTACAGTACGCGCATTGGCTTTCATACACTTTATACCGTTAAACTTTTATAAGGGGAGAGCGCCTGATGTTTACTCGGTGGAATTTGAAACATGAGAAGTTTGAGAAAATGAGAATGCTGGTTTTTTTCGTAACCGCCTTGAACAAAGCAATACTCATATGAGCAGAAAAACGAGATTAAAAAACATAATGTCTATGTAGTTTGGGACTACCTATAACATGAGAAGTTGGTTGCAGGCATGTCATGTTTTGCGTTTCAGTGCATCAAGAGCAACTACAGATGTGATGCTCAGAACAGAGTCAAAGAATTCTTAGGAATAGTAGAGAATCAACGATTTGACTTTTTTCGAATGAGGGAGGCAATGGCAAATCTACATCCTTTATTAGACCATGAGGATCGCGAACTTCCGGGGCAAGAGGATGTTGTCCGCCTTATTCGCGTCATTGCCATTATAATGAAATATCAGGTACGCAGATACGGTAGTGTACAATTTTTAAGACTTTCAAAAATCTTCATCGGTGTTCTAAAATACTATACAGGTTAACATAAGACATCAACCAGAACGACCAAGGCGAAACAGACATGTAAAAGGATGGTTTGGCCGTAACACTTGCAAGATAGTAGATGAAAATTTGACACAATTCGGCGGAAGTGAAAGGACCGTTGACCTTGAGCAAATCCACAATAGCTTGAAACGAACAGGACCACAGTCTCCAGAAGAATTTTTCGCAAACTTTATGACCATGCTTCTTGTGCAGGTGGGACCTTAATTAGTATTAGATTTCCATAAACACCATGGTTTTCGGCATTTGCTGTGGATTCTTGGAAAGATTTATCGCCTGCGGAAAATCCTCGCGAGCTCCATTTCGTTGATCAAGAGCAGATTTATGGTAAGAGCTTGTCTTGTTAATTCATTGCAAACGGAATGCATATTACAGAGTTCATCGAAGCAACTCTTATGGTTAGGCACAACAACGCAGAACTGCTTGAAGATTTTGAAGAGCACCAACGAAAGGAAATCAAAAGTTTTTTGTAAGCAAGACTTAACTTACTAAAAATTGCTTGTTTACAACAAGACTTCCTCACTAAACCTGACCGTCGCCCACATCGTCAAGTGTCAGGTTGCTGCATGAGTTCTATTCAATTTGAATTTTTCAAACTCATGGCATCTTTCAAACTCAGCTTTTCACGATATTTCTTAGCTATTAGGAAAGTACCAAGTATTGTAGAAAACCTTATTAAAAAACAGGAACTCAAAATTTTACAACGTACTTGTTCAAACCCGTGTTTTTTGGCATTGCATTGCAAGAACTTGGTAGAAAGATTAATTTTTAATGACCATTTTATATCCAAAAGAAGCACATAAGCTTGACGCCGAGAGTTTTGACTAAATAAAAAAGAGGCTGTTTATTACACTCAGTTCAATATATGCATATATGCCCACTAGTCGCGACCAGTGGAAAGTAATTGGTGAATGGGCCCTGCTAGCTCTTGCTTTACTGTAGCACCTATTTTAGTTTTTATAGATTGTGTTTATTCACAAAAAGTTATTGTTTATCGAACATTAAACGAACGATTACACTTGAGCGACAAATTTCAAAAGCAAGACGATTCTTACATAAAAATGGGTTTTGAATATATTTTAGCTTGTTCAATGCCTTTGATCCGTAACAAATAAGGGAGCTGAGTTGGAAGACGCGGTATGAAATTTTACAAGCACATTTTTCTTAAGTGAGACCTTATTCTCGGCTACGTAAGGTCCTAAGCTAGCACTATTGCTAGATTGTGGATTTTATTGAAGTTCAATATGTCTCAGAAAAAGCATGAAAAGCTTTTTCCACAAACACGATCGCATTAAGAATAAGAATCTCTCGTAACAGCGGCTTCCAACATGAAACACAACAAAAATCGGGCAAGTCTTGTGCAGCAACAATTACGTCGTTCCATTGTCTCTCAAATTCTTGCAAATGTTACTTGGGAGACCACGTAGACCATTAAGCATGATATCCCTTACTTGCTTTAATTTTCTCCGCCCTTCGCCTGCCTTTTGAGAGCTTTATCAATATATTTCCTCAATTTTTTGAGTAACGCAAATGTCAACAATGATTTAGTGCTTAAATCATTGCTCCTTTATATTTGCCGTCATTACAAGGAAGTATCCCGAACACTGTATCCCAAACATAGTCTAGAAGAGAATTATGAAAAAAAAATTTTTTTCAACCTTAACACAAAAATTATTTCAGAATCAAGTTTCAAAGGATTGCTAGAGAGATACACAAGCAGAGGTTAGGAAACGAAAACGTTTTTAGGAATCTAGAAATAGATGAACTTCTAGACAACTAGTTCTGGTGTTTAATAATGTTAGCGTGGCTTTTGTTCGCACATTTCCATTTAAAGTCGTCATTTGTTTATTTTCCAATGCAAGATTGGCGTAATAAAAATTGCATCTATTTATATTTTGTGCGTATGTGATTATCACTCGCTTTTTCTTTTCCTTCAGAATAAAAATGAGATAAGAATGCTTCATACTTATAATTAATGTTCCGACATGAACAATGAGTGTCTTGTTACAAACGGTTGTGTCGTCGTGGTATCCTTCCGTTTTGAGAATTCAATCCGAAGATACAATGCAAAACTTTATTTTTTATTCTATGTCTGAACGGTAGAGCTTATCTATTGGCGAAATAAAGGCTTTTTTACAAAGCGTAAAAAGATCTGTCCAAAAAATCATGAGAAGATGGAAGAACAAGTGTAGAATCAAATAATAACCTCTCTTGCGGATCGCTCTTAGAGATGATGCATAGAAATATGGCACAAGTTTCAACAAGGCAAAGGTCTTTGCAAATAACCTCCAGAGCACATTACTGCTCGATATAATGAGTCGCTCGTGAGCTTGCCAAACATTAGCGAACGGAAGTTTAAGTAGAAACAATAATATTTGTAGTGATCCACAAATTCCGAAGCAGTTGATGTGATTTACGTCTACCTAAGTAGCAAGACTTCTGGCGAGCCGCCTAAAGTGCTTACAAAAACAAAGTCATAAACATAACATTGCCCTATTTTCAGGTGTGTAAGCCGCAGGGGGTTTTTTCTTTTAGAATCGACCAGCACAAACAGGCCAGAGAGCTTCGCGACCAGAGGACCTAAGGACCGCGCTACGTATCGCTTTGAAGAATCGTGCGGCTTTTACTACCAAGACAGTAATAAATCTTTTGCACTCAAGGATAGAATTAGGGAGATATGAAAGGAACTAATAAAACTCTCCTGCATAGAAACGTGGAACTGGACGAAAATTTTTTGAGACGATCAACAAAGGAGCATCTGCAATTCTATTCGATTAAAAGTTTTCTACAAGTTGGGCTTAACCTATTTTTAACTGATTCTCTATTTTGTTGCTGAGACAAATTATATTTTGCATTTTTTTTCACGTAAGCTAGTTTTTGCTTAAAATTATTTTTTACATTTTTGTACAATTGCTTTCTGTGCACTTATGGAAGGTTTAGTTAGCTCAATTGCGTATTGCAAAACGTAGTTCATGCAAAATTTATGGGCAAAAGAGTTTTTGGTCTTAACTAAAAATTATATCAGACTCAAATCTTGAAGAATAGCTGGTACGCAACAGATGGAAAGGGGACAGAAGCTACTGGGAATTCAGACACAAATGAAGCTTATCATCAACCATAGAAAAATGATAATCGTAGTCGTATTGGCAAGATCTAATCATCGTAATTATTGTGCCATTTGCGTATCGAATGTACACCGCAGTCTTAACACCCCCCCCCTCTAATCATGTCGCAAACGGTCCTGGAATTCTGTCCAAAATCGCGTGTCCGTTTTTTATCTCAAAGTGCGAGAAAGAAGTAGTAGGGCAATTAATTTCTGATCCAGCATTTGCAAGTCCCATTCTGAGATGCTCAACACTAACAAAATCCAACGGTCAAAATTCAATTGGGAACAGCAACCGAAGACCTTCAAATCACAATGTGCAGTCGAAATCTTTAGGCCATTACTCCAGCCTGCCAAGTTTCTTGGGCAGAAAATGCGAGAAAAAACGATAAATCGCGAGATGGGAATAGTTTGTTAAATTACATCTTAACCTGTAGGCTATGAAAATCAAATAACCGCCGTCATAATTTTACTGCCAAGTACAGTTGGTAAGCAAGCACATTGAGTTCTGATAATTTTTATTCGACAATGCTAAAAGGCGCCAAGATGATTCCCACGATTTCCTTTCTACCCTCCTCTTTATTTCTGAGGAATAAAAAAATTTATAAGCCGTACGTAGCAAGAAAGGAGCTCAGAGTTCATTTACACTGAGCACGCCGGTGCAACACAACAGAGGTGAGGTGTTATTTTTTTGAGCGGAGAATACCGCTGAAACGTCGCAATTGAGGCGTTTTTTGATAGACCGCAGAATGTTTTGAACAGGGCAATTCCCTATATTTGAAAATATGCAATATAATGCGCAGTCAGATTTGACCAGAATGAGCAAGCAAAGCACTCATATATTTCAAGTACAATGTCGAAAACACGCATCTTCCTATTTATAGAGTGCCTGTTTGGATACATTAGGAAGTTAAATTCCACGAATCGTTTCAGATTTTTGCTTACAGTAGATTGCCAATTGAGTGCAATGAATGAGCACGATGAGAAACCTACTGCAAACAAAAATTTGAAACGATTTGTTGTATCTGACCTACTGCTGCGTCCAAGCGGGCACTTCTATATATTAGAAGATGCGTTGCGCCGAGCTGAGTGGAACGGTGCCCTTGGATTTCGAATTCATCCTCTCTGAAGCGAGATATGGCCGAGCTACGGTGATCTTACATAAACTGGGCGGCTGTGCATCCTTTTCTTAAAAAATTCGAGCATATTGTATTAGGTTGTCAAGAAAATAATGTCGTTTTTTATTTGCTTGCGTTAACAAAAAGTAATACGTACTATTCGATAGAGCAAAACAAGCTCTACAAGATGGTTTCATGATTTTGCGCCAAGCTCGATCCACGAAAGTTCGAACTTAAAATTTGAAGAATTCCGAGTGACCAAAAAATCGAAAAAAATCAGATCTTTGTCCAAATAATTTATACGGACCTCCCGCTCGCACACATCAGTACTTCCGAAATGTGATACTCATATGTGCAGTTGCTGTATTTTTTCCTTAACTAGAAACTGAGAAGACGAAGATTTTCCTGTCTTTCTAACAATGCTGAGTATACTTGGGTAATTCGAAAATTTTTCATCGAATGAATGAAGATCGAATAAATTCGGAAACGAAAAATTTCGAATAAACGAATATCGAATAAATTCGAAAATAAAAAATTTCGAATAAACGATTACCGAATGATTTCGAGGTTCAAAAATTCTCGAATGAATGAATTCCGAATAAATTCGGAAAATCAAAAATATCGAATGAATGAATATCGAATATATTCGAACATTGGAAGTCGAATTTCGAATAAATATACGAATGATTTATCGAATAACTAGAGCAACCATATCTTAAACTTGCCGACATATCTGGCTAAAACCCATCCATGCATAATCAGCAACCATGTATCCTCTATACCAACTCCTAGCTCAAAATTTTCCAAAAATCGCTGAAATAGATAAAACAGAATTTGATTTTAATTAGCATCCTCTTACCCCCCCCCCTGTATCAACTTCCAACCTCGTAGCTCGAAATTTTCCAGAAATCGATGAAGTTGGTCAGTTGGCAACTACTCTATACATCAGCAAGAAGTGGTATTTTACACATTATCGGACGATCTAA